CATATCCGCCCATCACTGATCATGTTTTTATAGCCTTTTCAATTACTGCCATATACAAAGACATTTTTATTTCTAAACCTGGTTGTGACATCTATTATGATTGCCTATAGGTTTTTTTTCCCCCTTTTTTGATGATTGCCTTTTTACTAATAGTATGTCTTGCCTAAACAATCAATCCAACATTTTCCTCTGTATATCAGGGTTCTTATTTATAAGTCTGTCCACACTGAACTTTCATGATTTTGAATACTTTGCTATTATCTTATTTATGACGTCTTTTATGAATCTACATTTTCCCAGGATATGAGTCACTAAGTTATATTTATATTGTAATAGCTACAGTGAGTTCATTTATTCATATATTTGATAAATATTATTAAGCACTTACTATGTGCCAAGTACATAATACTTGATCATTGATCTTTGGCTAATCTTATGCTTGTGGTTGAAAAAAATTATTGAAAAAATTTATTTTTTATTTTTTTGCTGCTCATTTAATGTACCTGTCAATGATCTTATGATTAGAGACACCAGGTGGATGACACAGAAGTTTCCAACTCTATAACTTATATTCTCAGGATTTGCTGTGGGTTTCTGGAAGCTGTTATTCATCCATTTTTTTCCGCATTCCATCCTAGGTGCGTTAATTGGGTCTATTGCTTTTATATTTTGCACATCCACTTTATTAATTTAGTTATTTTAAAATTTTTTCCTTCAAAAGATTTGATTGTTTTTTCTTTTTCCTTTTTTTTTTTTTTTTTTTTTTTTAAAATTTTTTCCTTCAAAAAATTTTTTTTTTTTTTTTTTTTTCTTTTTTTTTTTTTTTTTTTTTTTTAAGATTTGATGTTTTTATCATAAAGAAGTTCTCAGTATCTTATTAGGGATTTGATTTTTGGACTTTCATTATAGAGTTAATCTTTTCTCATTTATAAATCCCACCTCCCATAATTAGTTGTTGAGTATACATACCCATCTGCAGGAATCAAGTCCAAGTTTTGATGGCATCTCAGAATTTATTGTCCAATGATGATAACTGTGCTTTTCTGAAATTTCTCTAGACTGAGCTATATGGTAACTTTGGGAAAATATATACTTTTAAAATGTCAACATTTTGAAAAGTTTTGTAGAAACAAAATACTGTATATTTTTCAACATTTCCCCACACCTCATCTCACTTCCCCAGATTCTCAAGTATATATCTGGATTCCACTTCACAGATTAAAGTTTATTTTGAGAAACATACTTGGATGATATAGAAGGACTCAACTGTATGTCACTATTGTTAATTTCTCATTGAATTATATCCTTGATAATGTTTACATCATAAGTGTACCAAGAAAGGAACACCTCCTGGTCTATATTTCAAGCCCAATAGTTTGCAGCAGACCTGTAATATTTACAAACATAAAAGCATTCATTGCTACAAATCCACAATATTACCTACTTATCACTGCTTCCCAGCATTTTTACTGTCTGATCTTTGGACACATACCTTTATTTTTCCTAAAGTGTGAAGAAAAGGATATATAGCCAAACTAAAATATGAAAGTGACTAAAACTATTTTTTCCACAGTCTGATTTGAAATTAGTCTATGAGTTCTCCTGGCAGGATTAGTAAGGCAGGTAAGATTCTCAGTTCAGCTCTTCTATAATATTGATGAAAGGAACTTCTGTCTTCCTCAATCTGAACACATGAAAAGTATCATGTTATAAATCAAGAGCTTTTACAATGAGTGTGAATGTAATTACAACTTCTCAGTTTCTCTTTTAATAAATCTAACATTATTACCTCGTGTCATTAAGTTCTCAGCATAGCCTGAGGCTTTGTAGAATTCTTTTTGCCTGATCTTCATATCAATCCTTCTTGTGAAGGGTCTAAATATACTGTAATTTGTGATAAAGGGTCTCTGGTTTCCCAGATCTCTAGAATTGAGTGTTTAAAATCTTGGAGTTATTTATGTTTCCTATCACATCTGGATCTTTTCTTTCATGTGCCAATAGCTAAAAAAGTTTGCTAATCTCATGTGTCATTCTTTATGCTATAGGAGTTGAAACCCTCAATGCCCTCTGATCCTGATACTGCTCTTACTCATATGTTGAAGGATAATCCTCTGAAAACAGACCTATCGGTCACCTGGTATCTGTATTACTGGAGCTTTCAGATTAGCCCAAGCCTACAACATCCCTTATGGCTTTCATGTATTTCTTCCAGAGAGATGATACAGGATAGTCCAAGGGGCCTCAAACTGTTAAATGTCAGAATCACTTAAGAAGCTTAAACTACAAGTGTCTACAACCCTGTCACCACAATCTGATATGTTTGTTTCAAGGGAAAGCTGGGCATCTGCATTTTAAACAAGTTCCCCTGGGTGTTTTGACAGATATTATCTCCGAGAAGCCTTCTCTTCTCTGCATGAATACTGCTTGATCACCCTTTCGTTTTCTTTCCTTCCTTCCTACCTACCTACATTTACCTACATCCTACCTACATCTACTGGGTACTGTGCCAGTGCGGGGAGAGGGCAGAAATAGCAGGATACACTCTGCTCTCCAAGAATTCTCAGTCTATGTTCCTTCATTTTGCACATTTCACTTTGCAGTTCTCAGCAGTCATGTTCAGACATGACGAAGTTTATGCGTTGCCGTACGGCTTCTGGGATGAAGCTTTCTCAGAGTCTTCATCACTGCCTCTTGAGGTCAGCCCTGGCTGAGCAGAATTCTTCTAAATTTCAGAAAATTAGGAAATTTATCTCTCATTTAGTTTACAATGCAATTGGTGCAATTTTAAAATTGTAAACACTTTAATCCTGGCAGTTTGTTCTGACCTTTAGCTGCTATCTTCTTGCACCTAATTAGTTTGAGATCATTTTCTAAGATTGGCTTCCTTATTTCGGGAGTGAAATGTAAACTTTTTGCATAACTAAATATTATGTTTCATGTTGTTTTTTTCTTTTACAGATATGTCAAAAGTTTGACCACTACGTCTTTTTCCATTCTAATTTCTCAATTCTTTTCACTCTTTGACTCAGAATGTACACATCGCTTTTGCTAAAATTGTCCCAATTTCTATCGGAATGCTACCCTACAAAGTTGGCCTTGGATGGCTTTTCTATTATATTGGCTGACTTATCAGGCTTTCTTAATTTGCCCTGCCAGTATAGCAGGACAATTCTAATTTTTGATCCTTGTATAAGGTGATTTGATATTAAGGCAGAGGGTTTAGGCAGAACAGTCTTCCTTCCAGGTGTCCCTGTGGAGTTTGCCATTAAGGTGGCCTTGTAAACGACTATATTGAAGGTAAATTAGTTATACAATAAGTCACGAAGATTTTAAGGTGCCTGCTACTTAGAACTGAGACTCCTTTTCAGAAACATAACCTGACTAGAAGAGGATATCCTGCAGCTTCATGAATTTCAGACTACTTAGCTAAAGTGACCTTTCTGGACTAAGTTGGTACAATGGGCTAGAGTCCTCTTAAGGAAGTGAAAGAAGAGTCCTCTGGGACTCCACTACTTGTTCTGGATTGCTGAAATGCAAATATAGTCACTCAAAGGAGAAGGAATTTGGGTTAGCCATCTGAAGGAACTTTCTTACAGTGTTGTCTTTGGTGATCTTGTAGCTTGAGAGCTACATGTTTTTTGGTTCTGGCGAAGGATGACAGACAAGATTGCTTCCAGAAGGACTAGCTATCCCAGGATTTCTGTGCCTCTTGAAACAACAGAAAGGAAGAGGCTTTCTTACAGTGTTGTCTTTGGTGATCTTGTAGCTTGAGAGCTACATGTTTTTTGGTTCTGGCGAAGGATGACAGACAAGATGGCTTCCAGAAGGACTAGCTATCCCAGGATTTCTGTGCCTCTTGAAACAACAGAAAGGAAGAGAATAATGGGAAGGCAGTTGGGTGTGTGCATGTGGGTTGGGCAGAGTTGAGAGGGGATTCTGACACTTCTTTTCATCCTAGTTCTGGATGTCCATCGTGGCCACCACTATGCCCATACCCTGTGGAGGCTTCATGCCTGTGTTTGTGCTAGGTAAGTTCTTACAGGAAGCCTGAGATCTTACTGAGAGCTGCAGTCTAGGTTACAAGGCAAATAAGGAAAGGCCTAGGATGCTGAAGGTTTTTATTTGGTCTTAGCACCTGTATTAGTCTGTTGCTTATAACAGAATACCTGAAAATGGATAATTTATAAAAAAAAAA